TCAAAAAATTGTTAACGCGCAATCAGTGGTATCAAATAGACACAGATTAGGACTTTAGGGACCAAATAGACACAAAATTAGGAATCACGTGATTGGCGACCAAAACTATCACAATTTCTGTCGGACGTTTGAGATTGGACCACGTAAATACAAATTAGGTAGATACAAATTAGGAACCTTAGGAACTAAAAAGACACATTGGAAGATTGGGAACCAAATAGACATTAAATGCATACTTTGGGGACTAAAAGTGTATTTTACCCAAATAAGTTTGGTTGCAACATATATTTATACAAGATGATTTTAAATTGTTGAGTGTATCTGCAGTTTTAACTCAACTAACCCAGAGACTAATTGGAAAATTCACTTTGAGCTGGCCCATGAAGATGGTCTCAACATGAGTTCCATGAATTTTACTGCTAGAGTTGTGCTGATTATTTTTTTTTAAAAAATTTCTGATACATAGGATGTCAGTGGCTGGGACTGCTAATTTTATGATTAGAATAGAAACTCCTGATTCAGTACCTGCTTATGATTGATAAAATTTGGAATACCCACCTTTTATGGTCTATGTTACGGGAATTTCCTCCAATAGAGACTTGGTGGAATGTCTTTCAACTATGGCCGACAATCTGTAACATGTTCAGTCAGTGGAAAAGACAAGTTTCAGAAGCAGCTTGAGGAAGAATTAGCCGACACCTTCACCAACTTTTCTGTATTCACCTACCTCTGTCTTATCCAATTGATACAAAATCAAAGATCTTTATTTTCCTAGGCAGAGGAGAATTGCAAATATAACTTTTTTTTTAACGCGGAGGGATGGAGTGGTATGCGCCACGATTGGTGATACAGGACAAAACATGTTCTTATGCCACTTTTATGAAGACTCTAGGAATTGAGATAATCTGAAAGCTTAAGGAAATAATGAACTCCTTCCCAGTATTTAAGCAAAATGGAGACAAATTTGTCTTTCTCAGCCCCGTCTCATTTATTGAATCTTGTTGGAAGTTACTGCTGAGAGCAATACAAGAAAATTCTGATTTATGGTAGGTATGCATGTTCATGCCATCAAAGACTTCTCCCCCTTCCCTTCTGTCATCTTATGATTTCTAGGTGGTAGCTTCTGGCAACTTGAATATCTTTGCATAACTAAGAATTAAATGTTTTTTTTTTAACTCAATTAAATGGTACATGAAATGAGATGAACTTCTCCCTAATTCTTAGCTTGACCAATAATTCCATAACTCTAACGATCCTGGCAGGGTGATGTGTGCCCTTAAGCTCTTAGTACCTATTTTTGTGAAAACAACGGAAAGGAAAAAGAAAAAACAATGGAAAAGCAGTGGGCAAGCTTCACTCAGAAAATAAATATACATATATAACCCGACTGTGTTGGGAAAGAACGCTAAAGACCTGACCAAGACTGTTGGAAGTTCATATTAAATTAAAATAACTAAATGTAGAACTCCTATAGTAAATATTTACTGGGTGTATGTTCTTGATGATATTTTCCTGTGATGTATGATTACATTAATTTCTTTGGCTTGATATGGATATAGATGTTTCATGGATTCCTCAATACACACACACACATATATTATGGCTTTATATGTACCATTGTTTTCCATGACATATATTCTATCTGTTTCATACTTGATATAACAACCGTATTGTGATGCTTATCACCGAAGTCATTTTCCTCTTGTGCTCTTTTGCAGATTGATAAGGAGCGGGCTGGTGTGCTTGTTGGGACAGGAATGGGTGGTCTTACAGTTTTCTCTGATGGTGTTCAGGCTCTCATAGAGAGAGGTTACAGAAAAATCACACCATTTTTTATACCTTATGCTATCACAAACATGGGTTCTGCCTTGCTTGCAATTGATCTTGGTTTTATGGGACCAAACTATTCCATTTCAACTGCTTGTGCTACCTCCAACTACTGCTTCTATGCTGCTGCCAATCACATCCGTCGAGGTGAGGCTGATATGATGGTTGCTGGTGGAACTGAAGCAGCCATTATTCCTATTGGATTGGGAGGCTTTGTTGCATGCAGAGCTTTGTCTCAGAGAAATGATGATCCACAAACTGCTTCTAGGCCATGGGACAAAGATCGAGATGGTTTTGTGATGGGGGAAGGAGCAGGAGTTTTGGTAAGTTTCCTTCTACTTTTGATTTTATATCAATCTACCATATACATCTTAGTTTCTATGTTGGCATCACCATAAACTAAAGTTATGCTGGATTGCATATAACACGGGCGTATGGGCGATGAAGAAACTTAATACATTGAGAGTATGCATAATGAATTGTTGATTGGTCCTTTATGTTGTGCCTCAGATCATATTTTGACAAATCTGCTTCCATTATTTGTTGTATATGTACTCTATAATGGAAAATGCCAACGAAAACTGTAGACGATTTTTGGGCTGAGCGCAGATATAGATATGTACTATTACAACCTTTAGTTGAAAACAAACAAAAAAGTTTTCTTTGATATTTAATTTATTTATTTATTTGGTTGCTGGATTATTCTGAATCTCGTAACTGAGGCCATGCATAAACAACACTCCCTCTTTCCTCAAACCCTTTCTCTTTGAAGTGTGTGGCAATAGTGATATGAGGTTTTAGACCATGATATGAGTCTTCAACTTTCTTTGACAGTTTTCTTAACTCTTAAGTAGGTGATGGAAAGCTTGGAACATGCAATGAAAAGAAATGCACCAATAATTGCCGAGTACCTGGGAGGTGCAGTAAATTGTGACGCTCATCATATGACTGATCCAAGATCTGACGGTCTTGGTGTTTCTTCCTGCATTCAGAGTGCTCTTGAAGATGCGGGTGTGTCACCTGAAGAGGTACTTGCTTTCTTTCATTAAATCATCTTTCTAGTACCATACTATGCCTTTTCCTAAATAGTGTGTATCTTGGATGCAGATAATTATTAAAACTCTTTAAACAGGTTACATGCTTCCTGTCTATTTCTAGAGCCACATAAATACTATCCGAGCAAAATGAAGCTTCAAAAAAGTCATGGTCATGCATTCATATGTTTGAACGAGGGAAAGATCTAGAAAAAAAGAGTTTCACTGAGATTTTAGAACTAGTTAGAGTACAAGTGTCTCACATTTCTTTACAGAGCCTCTGCAGTCCTAACCTCAGTTATCGGAATATTTGGCCCTTCATTTGCTACCCCATTGAAGCCACCTCCATCTAACCTACCACAACTCTAACCATGTGCCTCCACCAACCATATTGTTACCACCATGCCCACGATCTCAGTTTTCTGCAATCTGGATGGAGTTTTGTAATGTTCTAGCTCAGTAGTCCTCTCAAATTTCAAACGTTAGTTACAAAATACACAGAATTTCTCTGAAGTATTGCAGTATCTCTTTTAGCTCCAATATTATTTTGACAAGAAATCTGGCTCTGATTCTATTGGCAGTTGCAGTCGAATTGCTTTATGGCTGTAGTTGATGTTTTATAGTGTTTGAAAGCAAGCTGACCAAACGATACAGCCATCAGACAAGAAAAGGAGGTGGTGGATTTGGGGGAAGTGGTTGCTTTGGTGGTGAATTAAATGATGTGCTTCGTCCTGCACATCTTTAGCCATTGTTTTTTCTTGGTCCACGTTCTTTTAATTCATCTAGTCTTTCAGAATGAGGCAGAGAAATCCTGAAACAGTGATGGAATTGCTTTATTTAGATTAGAGCAAAATAAGCTGAAAACTAATAGTTTGGGTTGATCCATTGTACATCCACTTAATTTGGTTGCAGTGCGTAGCATTGCTTATCCAGCTTCTAGTTCGTGAACAAGCTTATGTGTAGATATGGTGTTTATGTTTTGCTGATATTGTTCGTAGACTTCTAAGAAGGAAAAGTTTTCCAAAAACCCCATCTTTGGGCATTAAAAGTTGAGAGAAAGGTGAAGGCCTTTGTTTCTAATGTGCAAGGACTAATGGAAAACTGCAAAACTGCCATGTTATGTATTTCAGTGATAACAAACCAGGGAACAAATTGTGAATCACTAGGTCATGATCCAGTCAGCATAGTGTTGTCAAGTGGCTTTGAATCTCTTATTACTGATTCCCCCCACCCTCACCCCAAAAAAAAAAAAAATGATGATAAATCTGTTGCTGCTGTACCTTCCATTGTAAAGCTCTTTTTTACAGCTGGTATTGATGGTGCTATAACTTGGACGCAATCATAATGAAATTTGTGAGATCATGAGTTAATCAATTAAACTTCTCTGTTCTTTGTCAGGTTAACTATATAAATGCCCATGCCACTTCCACTGTAGTTGGCGATCTGGCTGAGGTGAATGCTATTAAAAAGGTATTTAAGAGCACATCAGAGATCAAAATGAATGCAACTAAGGTAATCTCAGTGTCTCTTTTATTTGATTATGTACGTTATGGTTCTGTTTGTATTTCAAACTTTGAGGAGACTATATTGTGATATTGCTTATACTTGTAAAATAACACGTGCATTTATTGATATTGCTTGCTCACACTCTTCAGATTGAAGCTTTCTTCTCACTTGTGTTATTCTGTTCCAGTCTATGATAGGGCATTGCCTTGGTGCTGCTGGGGGTCTGGAAGCTATTGCGACAGTGAAAGCCATTACAACAGGGTGGCTTCATCCTACTATAAATCAATTCGTATGTGCTACTTTGGATTTTCCAGAGAATTGTATATGTTATTGCTCTTAAGTCTATTTTCGATGGTGACACTACTCTGGATAGTTGCAAAGGTTCAAAATGTTTGTTCATAAGTTATTGTCTTTCTGGCAAGCCTTATGCTAGACGCATTGTTTCTTTTTCTCTTTCTTTTATTCTGGGTAAACAAAATGTTATTCATTTTTAACATCATAGTCCCATGGTTTGATCATTTGCATACTTTTTGCACTTTTTAACAAATTCTGTTTGGGGAAATGCAGAATCCAGAGCCTGCGGTTGAGTTTGACACTGTTGCAAACAACAAGCAGCACCATGACGTGAATGTTGGTAAGATGCTTTTTCATTTCCACCCTTTCTCTCCTCATCTCCCCAATACCCCGAACAACTTAATCAGTTGATTGAGTGGTGCAAGTAAGTCCTCTGATTTGAATTTTGTCATGATATGCAGCCATCTCAAACTCATTTGGATTTGGTGGGCACAACTCTGTTGTGGCTTTTTCCGCATTCAAGGCCTGATTGAATTGTCTGCATTTCTTGTAGCTGAGGACCATCTTTACTTATTCGAGGCTTGGTTTAATTTCTCATAGAGGCTGCTTCATCTTCTTTCTGCGAGTTTCTGCTTAGCACTTTGTGCATTTAGAGCTGTTAATTTAATAATTTTGGGTTTAAATTTAGATTAAGGATTCGTTATTTTTGTTTTACGTCGTGCTCTATTGGAACCTCCAGCAAATGGTAGACATGAAATTTATCCAGTTTTGAATTATTTAGTTGATAGAGGGTCCTTGGGGGGTTCAAGAACCTTCAATGGCGTTTGTTGTTGCTACTTGGGCATTTTTTTTTCCATGGGAGTTTATTTTACAATGAAATTTTCAAGTCAAGTTGATTTAATCTATAGCTAATTATACTAACATGACATCTTAATGCTAAAGCCTTTTTGGATGCTGTCCCTATTCATTGTACATTGGATCATAACGTCTTAATTGCTAGAGCCTTTATGGGTGCTTTCATTGTTTTGTAAGTGTCCTCATTTGCACAAGTTAACCTGAACATTTCTTATTGTTAGATTAAAAAAGATGGTGTCTAACCTAAAAATATTGGGGACACATTGATTATGAAGGTTGTGAAGTTAACTATGAGATCTAAGAGCATCTCTATTCCTAATTTAAATTTTTACTAAAATTTAAATAAGTATTTAAGTAAAAGTTTGATTTGATATAAAGGATTCTAATGGACAAACTCAAATTTAAATGAAATCAAACTTAAATTTAAAATGGAATAAGGATGACTATTGGATCTTTAAAAGATGATAAATCTTACTATTAAAGATTTGAGTAAATATTTGAGTAAAAAATGAGTTTTCCTTGATTTTTGTATGAGTTTGAGTTAAGGGTTAGAGCAAGTTTATTAAATTTTTTTTTCAAATTTAAATTTGAGTCTAAATTTGAGTAAGGGTTGGAGATGCCCTAAAAAGTAGGATGTGTTATATCTTCGTATGCTAAAGTTTGCCCAATCTTAAATCATAGGAAAAAATTCAATTATACTTTTTTTTAGTTTATCATATTTTCAAGAAAACCCCTTCTATTATCAAAAAAATCACTAACATCTCTTCTAATTTTTATTTAAACATCACTAACATCTTTTGTCATTAAACCATTCTTTATAACAAAAATAAATTATCTCAAATACCCAAATTATCATTACATAAACACTAAATAATCTTTCTAAATAAAATTCAATTAAAATTTATTTTTTTACATATTAAAATTCGAGTTGATTAAATTTTTTTTCTACTTATTAAAATTTGAGTTGATTAAAATTTTATTCGAGTTGTTAATTTTTTTTATGTATTAATATTTGAGCCTATTAAATTTTTTTTTTACGTATTAAAATTTGAACACTACTTGAGTTGTTAGTCTCAATTAAAATTCACTTCGAATTGATTAAAATTTATATTTTTTTATTTAATAAAATTAGATTTAAGTTGATTAAAATTTATTTTTTAAGTATTAAAATTTGAGTTTATATTTTTTTTTATGTATCAAAAATCGGGTTGATTAAAATTTAATGTGAATTGATTAAAATTTGATTTGAGCCTTGAATAAAATTTTAATCGATTCAAATTTTTATACGGAAAAAAATATAATTTTTAATCAACTCAAATTTTAATTAATTGAAATCGAATTTTAATCAGCCAGAATTTTAATACGTAAACAAATTTTAAAAAATAGATGATGTTTTATTGAAGATATGTCTATCTAGAGGGGGAGTAAATGAAGTTTTTTTTTTAAATATATCAAGAGTAATTTAGTAAAATTGCATTCTTATTAACACTTTTAATTTGACAAGGGTGTCAGTAAATATTTAAAAAACATAGAGAGCGTGTTTGAATTATATAATAAATTAGAAGGGATCTGACTGAAATTTTCCTTAAACATAATGGAGAATCTTAATGCATCGAGTGACGGGACTCTGAAGACACCTAGACTTGTCTTCCACTAAATCCCTTTTACCTTCACTGAATTTCCCATTTGAAGTCAACTTTATTAAAATAGTGTCATTTTGTATTAAATTGATGTTATTTTGTTAAATAAAATGATATCTTGTTGTACCAAAATGACGTCGTTTTAATCAATACCGTCTTTGTTGATAAAAATAAACAGCAGAAGATTTGAAACTAATGAAACTAAAGCCTTATTCTGCTCTGTGCAAAGAATGAAATCTTACCCAAAACCGTTTGAAGATCCACAACAATCATCTTTTACACTTACAAGCTCAACTTGGTTACTCGTAACACTATTTATTACACAATTATGAATTACCAACCTCGCCAATCTTTTCACCAAAAGCTTTCCAACGATAACCATCTTCACCTTGCAGAATAATAAAACCCCATTCAACTACCTTTACTTTGGAACTTTTGTCATATTTAAGACATAAGCAATGCTACAGAGACCTTATTTAGAGATCTAATATGAGGATCTAATAATATGATTTCAATGTAACAATTGGATTATTATAGAGTTTGTGGAGAGTAAAAACCTTATCACTTGTGGTAATTTTTACATAATTGTAATGTGGTTTTTGTTGATTTATTGAAGGTTAATGTTTGAGAAAATGGTTATACTACACATAAACAATGCAAATCCTAAAATTTTATAGATTGTCTATACAAGTTGATATTTTCTTAGAGTAATCTTTTTAAGATAAATTATGTCCAAATATTTTAAAAGAATAAATAAATATTATTTTGACAAAATATTGATGATTTTTTTTGTTTATCAGAACATAGTACATTCAGGCACGAACATTTCTTCTGATGGTAGAAGCTTGAAAATCCCTATAAGTTAAAGTTTGAGTAAATATATATGGGGGTTGAAATTTATGGGTTTTCAATTTTATTTTGTAGGACTATGATTATTAAAATTGAGTTTTCTTAATTTTTTTATTTCTTTATTGAAATTTGTCTTCACAAGAATCTTCATATCAGTAATACTTTGTTGAGCATGTATGCAAAGTGCGGTGTGTTTAAGGTTGTAGTTTAGACTTTCAGTTTAGTGCGTGTCCATGTTCAGTGTTTGATTTTTTTTCATGTGTTACGATTAATGTTAAATTTTTTGGAATTGCACAGTGCTTTTAGAAACGGATTATCACTATATATATATGAAATTAATGTAGATATAATATGTAATTGATAAATATAATATATGTATATATCAAAAAATATATACACAAATAATATACATTTTAACATACATAACTAACTTTCTATTTACTTTTTCTCTCAATTTTGGAGTGATTGATTTTGGTGAGTTAGAAGGAAAACTCATCTATTTATTTTTTCATCTTCTCTATTTTCTTTTCTTACAAAATATGATATTTATATCTATCTCTTCAACTTTTCATCTTTCTAACTTTTTAATGTTCTATTTTTCTATTGTATCAAACGAAGCATTGGGGAATTGTAGGGAGGAGTTCACTTCTCTAAGGCCCATTATATCTCATATCCAGAGCAAAGCCAAGAGATTTGGCTTTTTTTTTAAGAATAAAACTTTGCTTTTTAAATTTGTTTATTAAATGTTGTATCATAAATAATATGTTAAAATCTCATACATTGAATATTTGTTGGAAGTTAGTAGATCTCACTAGTCCAACCACTCACAATGATTTAGGATATAAATTTGGTAAATAATTTGATAAGCACAACATTACTCTTTTTTGAAGTGTCCACGGTTTGTTGTACCAATAATAGAGTAGCTCGATAAATTTATTTTATTGATAATTGTGATGTATGGTTGGAGTAGGCCTTGTACTTATTATGTCTTCCCTTCTTTATGACATTCTCTTTTAAATAAATTAGTTGTTGTACACGTGCGTTATACGTGAACTATTTTGAATTATAGGTTTCAATTTGAATATTTATTTGTATGATTTTATTTTGTTTATTTAACATTGGAACATTTGAATACACGGTGATTATCATATTAAACATGCTTTTAAATAACTGAATAACTAAGTTGCAAAACTCTTGCATATACATGTGAACATTGGCAACAAACAAAGAAAATTTCAACTGTTCTTTTCAATACAACCACCAAAATCTAATACAAAGCTAAATCTATCAAGAAGCAAAAGAATTCTTAACATTACAAATTCTCATTGCTTGTGATAATGGTGTGTACAGTTCAAAGAAGTGTGACTGAAGGCCAAAAAAATAGTTAAAGCAAGTGTTAGTAAAACTTCATATAATGTGACGCGCAATTTAAAAAGAGTATAGATGACAACTTTCTTAATACTTAAGCACTCATTAAAGTAATTGGATGATGATTTTTCTGTGTAATTTTAAGTTAGTTAAATATTTGACTAATATCTTGAAATAAATATATAGTATAGACTTGCAATAGAGGATGAAGAATTTAGGAGATCCAATAACCATAGTGTACTTGACGAAGTGCCTATATCTATGTTGAGGTCTACCACTAATTATTTTAGGAGGCCTTCAAATATGTGTAAACAATATCTCTCCATGTCTAGCAAACTCAAAAAAAACAAAAAACCAAAACAAAAAAAAAAGGTCAAACGTTTTACACATGAGACAAGCTTTGAATTAGTGAATTTGCATCTAAATTATCTTGCACGTCGAAAATTATTTTGAGGTTTTAATACTTTCCATATCCATAGCCAAATAAGTGAATTTTATAATTAGTGGGAATAATAGCTGTGTATTTAGCCAAGCGCGCATCCAATTAGAAAATGTTTATGCTAAGAAAGTTTGGTGTGTAAATTGAGTTGTAGGCCAAACATTTTGTAGTTGTCATTATTTGTATTTATTGAATCAATAAGAATAAACAACTCAATCTTCACAAAACAATTCTGTAAATTAAACCATGGTAATTAGTGTTCGAGAAATTCACATGAATAATTGTAATCACGTAAGATAACACAATATATTATTTAACATTACTACATCACATGTATATCAAACAACCCTTAAGAAGAAGTTAAACAAATAAATAATAAAAAAGGGCCTAGAGAAATTTACTTGGTAATCATAAAGAATGTCATCACTCAAGCTTCTCCGTACCCTGCAAAGCTAAGTCTCAACCGAAAAATGTAACATCAAGCCGGTCAATTTACACAAGAAAGAGGGGTGTGCTCATGCCATCACAAAATTCCTTGATGTAAATTAACACTATAAAAAGGTATAGTAGAACATCAATGTTATATGAATTTAAAAGAAGAAATTACCGACAATAAAGTCTTTGATGCAAAAACGTGATATTGTTGTTTAGTTACAAGCTTTAAAAGCCTATCGATTCTCAGTTGGGTTTTTTATATGCAAATAAAAAGCAAATTACTAATAAATTATTGTCGAAAAGGGGTAACTAAAAAAATGATTTGCATAAAAAAAATTAAATGGTGTTGTACCTTTCTTTTTCCTTCCAAAGTAGTGACACAATGAAATGAAGAAAACATTCAAGATCTGGGCCTTTATTCTAACAAGATGCCTATAACTTTGCATTATCATGACAAATTAGAACATTAATTTAGCAGAAAATAAAACAAATAAACCACCTAATCGAAATCTAGAGCTGGAATGGAAAACCATGCTTTTTTTTTCTTTTTTCTATAGAGCAAAGCTACAGAATGCCTTTTTCACGTGATGTAGCTAAAAAAAGTGATTTTACTATGTGTTTTAAATATTGTGTCTAAAACCAGTGTCACTTCAATTAGTTCATTTGATTAGGCTTTCACAAAAGCTTCATTTATCGCTAGTCGAAGCTTAAGCATAATAAATATTGTGTCTAAAACCGGTGTCATTTCAATTAGTTCGTCTGATTAGGCCTTCACAAAAGCTTCATTTATCGCTAGTCGAAGCTTAAGCATAATAATAAGCAAAAGTAACTGAAGATAAAATAAAGATAAAGAAACATTACACATCTAAATGCGAATAGTGATGCCAAAAAAAAATAAAGGAAAGAAAATACAAACAGAGGGGTTGTACGAAAGTTCAACTATTTCACCCGCGTCGTTCTATAGATCTCAAAAATGAGGCTAAGTGATTAAATAAGTGAATTGAACACGTAGAATTTCAAGTTACAGTTTATCATTTAGGAAGCTCAGTGTATATACCTAAGCTACCAGCCAAATATCCCAAACGACTTTATTTCTAATGCCAAATATGTGAATTTGAACTCAAAGCATATGCTTAATTAAAAAAAAGCTCAAGGCATATACATAACATAATCACACATATAATGGACCAAGACCTTGAAACTCAATGAGACACCTAATTTATGTGTATTTCAAAAATGAAAATAACAACCACAATGAAAGTATTGTCGTACAAGAGTGCAATACTTTATGTAGTTGTGTATATTTCACTGATTGCAAATGCAATTTTTATGAAAGAACTTGAAATGCATAACCTTGAAAATATTTTTAAAACATAACAATTGAGAAACAAATACAAAATACTAAAATAAGAAACACAAAATTGAATGAAGTAAACAAAGGTACATTGTAAAGAGTAACAGTGTGATAAGGATAATTTCACCAATTTTTTTGTTGTTGCAGGAAGAGAAGGAAGAATGTAATTTGAAGGTTCACAGCTACTACTATAAGTGTGTGATTGTGCAATTGGCTGGTTGAGGAGTATTGAATCCCATGACCACCTGGTGAATATGAGAATAGTCTTATGAAGAAACAGTATGTGGGAGCAGTCGCATAATTAACCATGGAATATGATATAAAAAATTGACAAATAAATCTAAAATATTTGGTAATGATTCTTGTTGAACATCAGAATTTTTTAGCTAAAGGTTAGTACAAATTTGTTGGTGATGGGTGCACGTTAGGTGCAAAATTTGTTCCATAAGCTATTTATTCATGACCTGAGTCATTGAAAGAGTCTCCAAGCTCATTTGTTACATTTTGGATGTGCTCTCATAGCCATGGTTTAAAAAAAAAAAAAATCAACCAAGACTTGCATGGGATCACAAACATCTCGGTCATACTCTAGTAGCAGGTGGTGTTTAAAGTTAGCAAACGGTTTATACACATGTTATGAGTGGTTACTTCAAGACAAATCTGCCCATCAAATTGTGGGATAAAAGGAAGCCCCACTACCTAAAAATCTGTTACTAGTAGAAGTTAAAAACAGTTGGCATATCATGAGAGAACCACCAATCACTCATGCAGCTTGACACCTAGCCCACTAAAGTCTTATATCAGCTAATGTTTGCCCTTTAAGAAAAAGCAAACAGAAAGGAGGAAAAACAAAACGGTGAACAAAAGCAAGAAAATAAGGTGGTTAGCAAAGAAAAGAGAAAAGGAAGGAAGACAGCAAAAACAAAAAAAAAAAAAAAAATTCGAAGCTTCTGTTCAGGTAAAAAAATTATGTTTACTCTTTCTTGATGATTTAATCTTCTAATTTTTTTTATGGCAGCAAATGTGTTCAAAGCCACTTCAGCTCGAAACAGTTGTGCCAACTCTGAATCATTCAAGCTACGTATTTGAGGAGTTTTCAACTCCTAAAGTTCTCTTAAAGCAAGAGATTATAATTAATGGATATATGCTATCTTGAATGGATTCAACCTATATTAATAAAACTCGTATAATTCATCGTTATATGAATGAAGTCGTGTTTGACAAAATATTCAAATTTTTGTCCAACAGTTCCTTGAGAATTTCTCAATCAATATCCTATTACAGTGTTTTTTTTATACAGATAACCATCTGCATAATAAAAAATTATATCATCCCAAAATAATAAAATTCATTGATTATATAACCAAACTACATATAACAGATATAAAGAAGGCAGAGAAGCTCACGCAAGTATTGAGTTGCTGATGCAGTTGGATAAGTTCTGATCCCAAAAAAAAAAAAAAATCTGTTCACCTGGTTATTCTCATCAAATTTATTTGATCATTTTAGATGGCAATCCTTATCTATGGCTTTCAAGATATGGAAAACCAACGACCGGCTATAGCCAACAAACAAGTTGACAAAATCAGTTGCAAAATGAGAATTGAGAGAGAGAGAGAAAACATATTGAATAACCTTGGAATAGAGAAAATGTAGAACACTCACTGTTACAGGATCATGGTTATTTGCCATATGGATTGCTTGTGTTGTTTCTCTACAAATTCCTAGCTGCCCATCCGCCAAACCGTAAATGGTAGTGGGAGAGATGTGGCGTCTAAGGTTTGTATTGAAGGTGAGTGTTCATTGGGGTGTTTTGCGTTGTACATAAAAATTGAGAATTTTTAGAGCCTCTCAGAGAGCATTAAAATAGAGTATTAACCGTGATTTAAATTTAGATTCAAATTTGAGTAAAAAGTTTGATTTGGTATAAAGAATTATAATAGGCAAACTTAAATATATACTCAAATATTTAAAAAAATCTCTTATTTTTCCAAAACTCATTTTGTTTTTTTTGTCATTCAAATCATTATATTTGATAAAATAAATAAAACTTTCATATCTCTCCATAAGTAATTCAAAAAAAAAATTAATTTATATAACACTACATGGGAATAAAGAAACCACTCCATAATTCTAAGATTGTTAAAATCTATTATCATTTTTTATAAATCCAAATAAAGAAAAAAAAAAAAAAAAATATAACTATTTTGACAAAAGTCTGATTTCTAAAACACAAAAATATACGTTTTTAACAAAAATGGAAGATTAAATAAATAAAATGACAAATTTTTAAATTTGTGGGTAGCGAAGACTTAAAATTTCAGAAAGAATCGGTAGTCTAAAATTGTATTGTCGATAGTGTTTAACTCAAAAAAATCAAAGAAAAATTTGATTCATAGACTTAGGGTTTATATTGTATGAAAGATGGATGAGATTAAGGTTTTGAAAAATACAAAAAATCAAGAAGATGAAAGATGAAAAGGAAAAAATTTACCTACAAGCCTTCAAATGATTTGTAAAAGTTTTGGTGATGGTTGGCGATAGAGTCTTTTAGTTTTAAACAGGTTAAAAAGTTATCGTTAGAAATTTGGTATAGAATTTAAATCTGCTTCAATTTGAGTCCAAAATCATTGACAAAAAATTGTGAAATTATGTTCACTAATTCATACATAATTTAAATTGTATGTATACAATAATGTAATATCCAAATATATTGCTTTTCAATGGTAGTATTGCATCACAGTGTAACATTTCAAAGTGATACTGTTATTAAATTTGGGAACAAGCAGAGCTATTTAACATTAAAAAATAATATAAAAAATAAAATTTAAAATCTGGGTCCAATCATTAAGGTATATTCCTTGTGATATAATTTTGAATTTTAAATATATTCAATATCTTAAAAATATGAAACCACTAATATAATAAATCAAATCTCATAAAAAATGAGACTGCCAAACTAAGAGGATTTCAAATAAAGAAAATGAGTACTTAACTACAATACATTTCAATATATTATCAACAAAAGATTTTAGTCAACGTATTTTCTTAAAATTAAGTAGTTTTAAAGGTATTTACTCACAAATTTTCAATTATTTTATTGTTGGTAAAATTTTGTCGTTAAAACTTTTATAGACAATTTTTATTGTGGTCAAGTAATAAAGTAATTTTGTTGCCAATCGTAAAAATTTTATGATGAATATTATTGTCTTTAAAAAATGACTAATGAGCAATAAATTTTTTGTCATTAAATAGCAATTGCAAAGACGGCCAAACTGTTCACGCTCCTCGCACGTTGCAAATCTAATGAATTTCTTGTAAATCACGATCCAGGGAATATCGAAAATTCATTGTAAATCTAATCAATTTTTTTCTCTACTTCACTTCATAAACTGTTATTTGCGTTGTGCATATATTTTATATTTTTTAGTTAAATTATTGGGTAAAATATAATGTTGGTTTTTGAAATATCAGTCCCTAAGGTTTTTAATTTGTATCTACTTAGTTCAATCTCAAATGTCTGTTAGAATATTAGTATCGACTTTGATCACGCATCAATCATATGGGATTAAATAGATATAAATTAAAAATTTTAGGAACTAAATAGATACAAAATTAGGAACCACGTGATTGACATGTGATTAGAACCGTTACAATTTTATGACGGACGTTTGGAATTGAATCACGTAAATATAAATTAGGAATCTTAGAGACCAAATAAACAAGTAAACACATACTTTGCCAATCAATAGTGTACTTTACCCTAAATTATTATTTTTTGTAATTTTTAATTTTGTTATCATACAATCTGTCATTAGTTTACCGAATAATTGAACCTAATAAACCATTGATTTGATCCCTTTGTCATTCCATGTCGAGTCTGGTTATGTTAACTGTGCCCTCCACTGTTATATATATCCATCCATCCTTCTCTTTAAACTCGCTAACTCTTCCCCCAACTCTTCACAAGAGAGAGGGAGAGGGGACAATGGAGTCCGTTTGGGCTATTGTCTCAGTATGCGCCCCATACCTTGTCTCTCTCTTAGCTTTGCTAGTATGCCTGGAACAGATTTCTTACTTGAAGAAAAAAAGGAACATCCCAGGCCCAAATCTGGTCTTCCCATTCATCGGCAACGCAATTTCCTTCGTCCTCAACACCACAAAATTCTGGGAGCTCCAATCTGCCAATGCCAAGTCCTCCTGCTCCGGCTTCTCCGCCAACTACATATTCGGCCACTTCATGATTTTCATCAGCTCCAGCGACCTCACCCTCAAAGTCCTTGCCAACGTCAGACCCGACGCCTTCCAGCTTGTCGCCCAACCATTCGGCAAAAAACTCTTGGGCGATCGCAACCTCATCTACTTGGTCGGTCAGGAACACAAAGACCTCCGTCGCCGAGTCATCCCAAACTTCACCCCGAGACCTCTCTCCACTTACATTTCAATCCAACAAATCAACATCCTCAAGCACTTGAAATCATGGGTACATTTACAATCATCAAGGACCCCCACAAAACCAATCCCTCTGAGAAGCCTCGTTCCAGATATGAATCTCGAAATCTCCCAGGCAGTGTTCGTTGGTCCTTACTTAAGCGAAGAAGCAGTGAGACAAAGATTCAATGAAGACTTTAATTTGTTTAACGCTGGCATGATCAACCTTCCAAACGATTTTTCTGGATTCGCTTTTTGGTACGCCAGGCTCGGGGCCCAAAGGCTTCTCCAAACTCTAGCAACATGCGCAATGGAAAGCAGAACGCGAATGATGAATAATGACGGTTTTAAGCCAACCTGTATGTTAGATTTTTTTATTATACAAGAAAACATCAGAGAAATCGCAGCCGCCAAACAAGCCGCTGTTCCTCCTCCTCCTCCTCCTCCTCACTCTAGCGGGAGGGATGAAGAAGTTAGTCAACTTTTGTTGGATTTGGTCTTTGCCGCCCTGGACACTAACACTTCGTCACTGCTCTGGGCAGTGACTCTTTTGGATTCACATCCTGAGGTCTTGGCAAGAGTGCGTGAGGAGGTCGCCGGTGTCTGATCGCCGGAGTCGGACACACCCATCACCCCTGAACAGCTTAGCAAAATGCGGTTCACAAAAGCAGTGGCGAAGGAGGTAATAAGGTTCCGACCTCCGGGGACTCTGATCCCACACATTACTGTAGGGGACTTCCAGTTAACAGAAAACTACAAGATTCCGAAGGGCACTATTGTTTTTCCATCGGTTCTTGAGAGTTCGCTTCAGGGGTTTGTTGAACCGCACCGGTTTGACCCGGACCGGTTCACGGAGGAGAGGCAGGAAGATCGGGTTTATAAGAAGAATTATTTGATGTTCGGAATTGGGGCCCACCAGTGACTGGAACAGAGTTATGCCATCAACCACTAGGTGCTCTTCATCGCCATTTTTACCTCGTTGATTAATTTCAAGAGGCACCGGACGGACGGTTGTGATGAAGTTATGTATGTCCCCACAATTATTAAGACTATTGCAAAGTTTTTTTTTCCAAGAGGTGCAGCCGATTTCCACATCTTTTGGGACGAACTTACTAGTTTTATATGCAGGAAGTAAGAAATTATTCGTATCTGAAAACATGATTTAAAATAAAAAATATTTTATGATCAACCAAAATATGAGCATATATTAAAATTGTTTATAGTATATTCTAAAATTAATCATAAAGAGGATGTTTTAAAATTGTACTAGTAACATTCGTTACTTAATCAAATAAAAATATAAGTTTATTTATCATGTTTTTACTTTATTTTATTTTAATATACATAATATCTTCCATAAAACATAAGTTAAGAAGATAATTTTTCAAGGGGTTGAGAAGAGAATATATTTACTTCTTAGTATTTAACTCTTAAATGTTCTTAGTCATAAGATTACTATGTGGACACTATATAATCTAGATAGATTAGCATACATTATGTTTGTTCATATTTAATATGAGATTACTCGTCCAAATCATTAGTATAAGAACACTAAAGCAAGTGTGTGGGTGTTTGCTAAAGAAAAAATACATTGAATATGACCATTAACGAACGTATGATTTTTTATATGGAGTTTTATATACATGTCAAAGTTAAATCTTAGAGTTGTAGTTATGTAATTGATCCTTAGATTTGAGACACCATGACTGTCTTTTGTATGGATTTCTATACTTAAACTATATAGCATAGTCATATACTAATCATGTAACATGAATATGTATTTTTGGACATAATTAGACATACATGGAGACTTATGAGTGTATAACATGTAATCTATCACCCTTAGTAAATAAATGGAGACTGCATTATGTGATCTTTTAGGATATGACTCAAGGAGTCCTTGGCCAATGAAGAAGGAATATATTCAATGAAGTTTGAGGGCCGAGATAAGTATACAAAGCCTTCCAAGGAAATTGTATTCCAAATCGACTTGAAGTGCATCGAGATTCATCAGGCGGAAGAAGAGGTCCTTCAACCCATTAATGTGTAAAGGCTGAACAATGTAGAAGGAACATAGAGCTCGTTTATTGATGGAGCCCGGTGACAATAAACTGAGGAAATAGGCTATAGGGCCTACTTCACTAGGATGCAAACTTACATGGCAAAAAAGAGGGTCGTGACACTACAAGTAGCCAGTAGATAGCAAAGCACCATTACCATGGTGAAATGTCATGAGGGAGAGCCTAGATAGTTTACCTCCTAAGAGTTCCTCGAACTAGACAAAATTGATATTGCTCTTGCCAAACTCAACGACTTGGTCGAAGATTAGGATCTGTTACATGAAGTTAATCTCAGTGAGCTGGGGGAGCACCGTTTGACCTTTATTAGCAAACTGTTGGAGTCAAATTTTCAAGCACTACTTATACTACTATTAAGGGAATACTGTGATTGCTTCTCTTGGAGTTCTAAAGAGATGCTAAAGCTAGATCCAGCCTTAGTGGATCATTGACTACCTATCAGGAAAGGATACAGGTCAATTAAATAGGCACCAAGGTTGATACCCCAAGAAGTAACATTGTTGTTAAAGGAGGAGATTGAGCGCCTTTTGAAAGCTAAGTGCATTCAGGTGGCACAGTACATGGAATGGGTGTCCAACGTCGTATCAGTTAAGAAAAAGACTGTAAAGATCAAGATTTGTTGACCTTGCAACTCCCAAAGATGAATATGTCATGTTGCTGACTGATCAATTTGTAGGCGCAACAACCATGAATATAATCATGTCATTTATGGATGGCAACACAAACTACCATCAGATTTTCATCGTGAAAGAGTGCACATAATTGTTTTTTGATTTCCTGGGTCAATTGGGATGTTCAAAGGGAGAGTTATGTCATTTGGACTAATGAATGTAGGGCCCACATACCAGAAAACCATGAACATTATTTTCCACAACATGATCAGCAAGATCGTAGAGGTATACATTGATCACACTATAGCCAAAACTCAAAACATAGAGAGGCACCTTAATGATTAGAGAACGGTCTTTGAGATAATACATGTTAACCAATTGAAGATGAACCCGCTAAATTGAGTCTTTGGGGTCACAGTGGGGAAATTTTTTGAATTCTTGGTACACAAAGAGGGAATTAAAGTAGATCAAAACAAGGCAAAAGCTATCATAGAGGTCGAGCCTCTGAACACCAAGAAGGAGCTTCAACGCCTAATCGGTCAAGTCAATTTTCTTTAACAATTCATTACCAAATGCGCAGGGAAAGTACAGGTGTTCTCACTACTCTTGAAGCTAAAAGGCACAAAAGATTTCAAATGGGAAGCGCAATATCAAGAAGCTTTTCGCCAGATCAATGAGTATTTGGTGAATCTTTCAGTCCTCATGCCACCTATTAAGTGTAGGCCACTACTATTGTACTTCTCATTTGCACACGAGTCTATTGGATATTTTCTTGCCCAAAATAATAATACAGGCAAGGAACTAGTCATTTATTATTTGAGTAGAATTCTAACTCCGACCGGGCAACGATATAAGCTGATTGTGAAACTTTGTTTAGCATTACACTTTGCATCACAAAAATTAAGAATTTATATGATTTCAATTTTGTGTATGCTGTTGCACAAACTGATGTGATTAAGTACATGTTAACCAGGCCGATTATGGGGGTTAAATTGGCAAATGGGTTTGGCCTTAATGGAGTTTTCACTCCAATACTTTTCACAATGCGTAGTGAAAGGCCAAGTATTGGCCAACTTCTTTGCAGATCATCCTTGTGTAGAAGTAGAACAAGATACAAGGGAATCAATTGGTTTTCTAGGAGTACCTGTGGTGTCATTAACACCATGAAAATTAAGGTTCGACGGGTCATGAACGCATGAATCTGCAAAGGTCAGAGTGATTATAGAATCACCTCAGGGCCATGAAACCCAACTGTCATTTAAACTAGAGCTTGAATACACGAATAACCAGGCCAAGTATGAGGCATTGATTATTGGGCTATCCAATGCAAAAGTTGGGAGCTATGCCCATTCCACTCCATTGCAATGTCGTTGAAAACTTTTGATGGTGTGACATTGTGAGCAGTCCCATGGGAAATGAATGGTCGAGTTAATAACTTGACCCAACTAAGATCAGGTTTAAGGATTCCTCGAGGAATGGACGAGCAACTAATCAAGGTTCAAAGGAGAGTCTTGTTTCGTCCATAAAAGCTAAGAGGGTGGACCTCAAGGAATTATTGGTTGAAGTGGAAAAAGAAGACTGGAGGGTCGACGTCTTGTAGTTTCTAAGATATCAAAATAAGGATATAGAATAGGCCGTCAAAAAGCGGGTCGCTAACTATATACCCATGGATGGGGAACAATATAAGAAGGGAATGCATTATGAGTTATTTTTAAGGTGCATCGCCAAAGAAGATGTCATTTTGGTAATGTCCAAGAGCTACGAAGGCATATGTGGTGTGCATCAAGCCAGCAAGATGCGATGTCTAATTGGAAGATATAGCTATTATTTACCAAGTATCTTAAAGGACTATATCGAATATGCAAGGGATTGTCGAGCATGTCAGCGCCATGGGCCCATTCAAGGATGCTTGCAATAGAGAAGTAGCTTGTAACAAAGCCATGGCCATTTAGAGGCTGGGCCATGGATTTGATAGGAAGATATTTCCCCCATCCACAAGAAAATATTTTTTTATCATTTTAGCCACCAACTATTATTCAAAGTGGATAGAGGTCATTCTAATGAGAACTGTCAATCAAACTGACATCATATGAATGATAAAAAAGGACATAGTGCATTGATTTGGGCTTTCCCAGTACATAGTGGTTGACCAAGGAACGGTCTTCACAAGAAGCAAAGTCAAGGGATTTGTAGAGTAGTATGATTTCGACGTGATACAGTCAACCCCATACTATTCACAAGGGAATGACTAAGCAGAATCTACCAACAAGGTGATGAAAGAAATCATAGCAAAGATGGCGGAAGACAATTCAAGGGGATGACATGATAAACTATGGAAAGCACTATGGGCATACAAAATGTCTAAACGGTCTAGTACTGGAATTACACAATTCAAGCTAAGATATGGGCACGACGCCATATTGCCTATGGAGATTACCATAAAGTCGTTGCTAGTGATTTTACAGCATAGGTTAAGTCCAATTGAATACAATTAAGCCATGATGATCGAGCTTGAAGATTTGGATGAAGTGCGATTGGGTGCCTTGGATTGTATCAAGGTACAAAAGCTAAGAGACACCCGGGCGTACAATAGAAGGGTCAAAAACAGGACCTTTGACATAGGTGACTTAATCTGAAAAGTAAAGTTGCCTTTGAGACTCAATGATCCAACGACTAGCAAGTGGATTAGGGGGGTTTCTAGTTTTTCAGTTTGTATGGACATGGGTGGGTTGGGAGAAAGATAGAGAATAAAAAGATGAGCAGAAATGAGGGGAGAGAGAGAGAGAGAGAAAGGGGGAAGATGGGGACAAACTTGGTGATGTTGGGCGTCGCTGATGGCGTATGGGTATCAGAGAGAGAGAGGGGGGGGGGGGGGGGGGGGGGGGGGGCTAGCTCAGCCCGTATGGGGGTGCGGCTCGTATGTTGTTAGTGATTAATAGCACAGTGTGTTTGTTAATGAGGACGGTGTCATTTTGACACCAAACACAGCCGTTCAATTGTTGGCCAACAAGAAACAAAAGATATGTTTCCCACTTATTGTATGACGTCATTTTACACTTGTCTAAAACCACACTCTCGCACCTTTCTTTGGCAGACTCATCTCCGCTACACACTTCCCCCAAGGCTGCCGCCTCACCTCTCTATATCGTGTCAGCCACTCACTGCGGCCAACTATTTCGTTCTCCTGTGAATGATCCATATTGACTCCACTCCATCTCTTACCCAACTCCCAGTTAAAAGTTCAATGGTAAATCTTGAAACTGAGTCATTAACGATTCAAGAAATTGAGAAATGGTTTCAGAATTTTGTGGGTACTGCTTAAAACTTATGATCTTGAGGTTTTGGGTTTCTAGTGAGAGATTGAAGGAAGAGTTGATGGTCCTATATATACAAATAATTTTTTTTTTGCAACTGAATTTTTTTAATTATACATTGTGCTTGAAATACTAGTTTTCTGGGT